CGGCCCCGGGACATGCTGGTCTTATCTCCCTCCTTACTTTTACTCCTCACCGGTTTCTTTTCGGTCTCCCTGAAACCAGCCCATCCCCAAGCCTGGGGAGACGCGGAGGGGAGGGGGACGGGGAGAGCAGCTGGTCATGTGAGGCGCACGTCAGGCACAACTTTTTTCTATTTTTTTCCGCCAGTTTCCACTAATTTGGCCAAGTTTTCGGTACCGTGTGTTTATATTGTGCCTGGGTGGAGGCTCCTTTCACTAGAGGAACGAGAAAAAAAAAACCAAAACAAAACCGCCGTGGCTGTGCCCTGTGGAGGCTCTGACTCGGTACCCCCATCCCCAGCTTTCCCCCGTATAACTTAATTTTTCTGCAAGCCTTGCGGCTATCACACAATAACTCGGCTGGTATTTTATTTCCTTTGCAACCTCTGTGTCGCCGCTGTTACAGTTGAGCCGGGAGGAAAGTTTGCAAAATGGGGCGGATTCCAGGGTTTGTTCCTATAGTTGCATCAAATGCATACGCTCTGGGAAGTGAAATAAGAATTTAATGGCATATTTATGGGCTTTGTACTGCTCTAGGACGTGAAAGCCATCAAGTTTTATGAGTGCCTTCACAAAGGTCGGGGTGATTGCACAGTAATGTAATAGTTTTGTTATTTTAATTTAATGAGTGGAAAGATTAGTGGTGTTTTAACACGCCTGTGAATATTTACTCATTCTGTCTGGATTTAGTTTTAAAAGAAAGAAAGGGTACTTCACTTAAAAAAAAAAAAAAAAAAGTATTCAACTAAATCCTTAAAGTTTTGGGGGGTTTTCTGAGGGACAAAGAGGAGATTTTTCTTTCTTTAAATATCAAGCCTCATTTGTAGGCTGCATCTTAAGAAAACAGAGATCCCTACCTATGCCAGTGCAGGGCATCTGAGCAGACAGATCTACTTGGACAGCCTTTTACTGTGGCACATGTAGCATTACTTATAGGCTTGAGGCTAACTTTTTAGTAAAAGCATGGAAATTTGCAATTCTCTTGTCTATTCCACAGAGACACAAACTTTAATTCTTGATCTTTCTAAAAGGACTGTTTCATTCTTCGCTAGTGCAAACAGGTTACTCTTGTCTTCACATAGTAGAATTTTCTGCTGCCTGAGGTAACACTTGGGCTGGGTCACCAGCTGTGGTGGATGGTGGTAGGTTGAAGTCACTGGAACGATGAGCTCTTGTAGTAGGTGGGCCTTGTCCTCCAATTTCCACGTTTAGAGGGCTGCTTTCCATTTCAGTAGGATTCTTTGCCTGTGTGATTATGCAGCCATGAAAGACTGGGAGTGTTTAAGATTTATAGCCTGTAATTCATTTTGTAACAATAAAAAAAAAAAAAAGTTGAAGAGTGAGCTCTGCTCCTCATGGCAGGTGTCTGTTCTAAATTTTGTCGTGCCACAAAGTAATGGTAAGAAATGAAAATGCCCCATAATCATGAAATGTCCAGTGTCGACTGGCAGTAGTTATTTATATCTACAACTAAAGGTTCAGAGTTCAAAAGGCTGCACAGTACAGCGTACTGATGTCCAATTTAGTCGAGATACATCACTGAAGAATGAAACCTTTGAGGAAGGTAAGTTATCTTTGGAGTCTTGGTCACTGAAGTATTTGTTCTTGCTCAGTTATGGGAAGATTTTTTTTTTACCCCCCAAAGACCCAAGGGATTTTGTGTGTTCCATGTCCAGGACAAAAAGGTTCATTCATTTTGTGGGAAAACTACAGCATGCCATAATGTCCTGTGCAAACTGGTCTCCCCATCCCTGTGTTTATCTGCTTTCTTCGGAGGAACGCTGCTGTCCTAACAAGCTGCCTTTCTTCACACATCTGTACGTGTAGCGGTCTTTGTTAATGCACAGATGCGCATGGTACAAGCTCTTCCTGCTCGATGAACAAGCTGCCTTGCAAATGCTACCCTGTGTTTGTTAATTCAGAAATCTGGAAAGAAAGCAAAAAGAATATTTTCTATTTGCATGCTGTGGACTGGTGTGTTTTGTTCGACTCCCAAATTTTTCCCTGAATGTGAAGTTGGGAGTATTTTGTGCATCCATTTGAAAACACCCAGGAAAGCTTGCTGCTGGTGAAGGTGTGGCTGCTGTGCGCTATTTGTGGAGTTCCTGTTCTGCCAATGTGCATGTGTAACTTGGAGCACAGGAATAGTATCACCCACTCCAGTAGTGCTTCAGAGGATTATGTCTCACATTCTAAAGTACAAATGCTTTTTCAGAACTCGGTCCTAAGCAGCTCTTTGCCTTTGTTGAGGTTACTTGTGAGGACAGGTTCTTTGAGTGTTTTTGCAAAAGTCCCTGCATTGGTTCCTACGTTGCTGTTGCTTGCTCTTCTCCCTCTCTCCCACCCCCTCTCTTTATCTTTTTTTTTTTTTTTTTTTCCTTTCTCTCCTCCCTATCTTTGGTATCTCCATGGTGTACTGACTCAGAGTTCAACACAGATGTTGTGTAATTCTGGTTTTTGTCAGGAGTTTAAATTTAGTGGGGCAGATGTGATTATAGTCTGCTGACCAGAGCTTACTCCTTCCATTTAAGTGGACAATCTGAAGCATTACTACACTTAGACAGGTGTTTCGTAGAGGCATCTTTGTAGCTGTGCGTTTGCATCAGCTCTGCGCCTATATTTACCCACTCGCAATGTAATTTGCATCCTACTGACCTTGAAATTTTGGTAAGGATGTCATGAAAATGATATATTTCTTACATGATGTTTAGTTTTAGAGATCCTAGTTCAAATTGTGCTTTGTGTGGTTTCCAATGGATGCAAAGGCTTTCGATTTACCAGTGAACACTGTGTTGTGCTTTATCTGCAAGATGTCTATTCTCGTGTAAGAAATCTTAAGGCAGTCTTTCATTTATTCAGGCACGTGACCTTCTGGGCTCTCTTCTGTCTTCTGAAAATACCATCCCTTCTCTGTTTGTCGTCCTGTGTGCTGGAAAACATTCTCCATTTCCATCCTTACCACTCTACGGTTTTCCCGTCCCATCTTGTAAACAGATGGCCGCTTTAAAAAAGTCGCACACCACCTTTTCTGCACTAGACACTGGGCAAATTGATGAGACCCTACTTTTGTTGCTGCAGAGCACGAAGGGGGTGGCTTTTCATCTATGGGAAACCTGACTGGTAAGAACTTGCTGTGAGTGGGTACAGAGCAGGGCTAGCTGGAAGAAGTCTGAATCAGTTCAAGTATGGTCTTTTGTTTGCTGATAACCAGTGCTTTGTATGTAACAGTGGCTAAACAAGGGATCTTGTGGGTGGGAATTTTTTGTGTGCTTGGTGGGAAAAATTAAAAGGAACCTCATTAAGTGGCTGTTGTTGATCTTAACAGATAATGCTGTTGCCAGGATATGTGGCCACATGACGTCAAATTGTGAAGGTGAAGTTGTCCCTTGGGAGAAGTTAACGTAGCTCTGAAGTGCCGATTAGAAACATCTCGCCTGATGAGACTGTATCTTCTCCTTCTGCAAACTTTTGCTTAGAGCAGAATAAGCAAAAATAACAGAACTTGAATTTCCTCATTTAGAGGGGCATAAATTCTAAAGCAAGATCGGCTCTTGCTTTGAAGTCTCCCCCCCCCCCCCCCCTTTTTTTTTCTGCCTTTCCTCTTCGTGCTAATTTTGTGTATCTAGGACCTTCGTTGGTCTTATTGGTAGGTGTCTGGAGAAAATGGAAGCTGCTGTTTATTTCTAGTGTTTAATCACAAATTGTGCTTGCACTACACATGATTGCTAAACAACAGTCAGTGTATTGGGGAATATAGAAAGAAAATGTGGGTAGGTTTTGGGTGTTACTTCTGCCTTTCCTCTTCGTGCTAATTTTGTGTATCTAGGACCTTCGTTGGTCTTATTGGTAGGTGTCTGGAGAAAATGGAAGCTGCTGTTTATTTCTAGTGTTTAATCACAAATTGTGCTTGCACTACACATGATTGCTAAACAACAGTCAGTGTATTGGGGAATATAGAAAGAAAATGTGGGTAGGTTTTGGGTGTTACAATCTTGTGATATTCTTTCTGTTGAGGTCTTGTGTGTTGTGATTCTCTTAATATTTTACTGCTCAGTGTAGGGTGTTGCTATTTAGTAAGGCATCACTCCTGATTACAAAAGGATTTATATCAAAGGCTATTTGTGTTCCCATTTCCATTGATGTGCTTTGGGTCCTCCTGGGTGGGAAACTTACTAACCAAAATAAAAACAATCTATGAGGCTGTAGTGTTATTGTGTATCTGTTTGGATAAATGACAAGGAACATTCTTGGAGATACTAAAAATAAGATAATTTATTTACCTGTGTAAAAAGTTATGAAGCTTGTAAATAAATGTTAAATAGTTGTCTTTCAGTTCACCATTTTTCATATTAGTTCAGGGTGGCGTAGAAGTTGTGATGCTGTGATCCATCCTCAAGAACCACTTTGTTTCACTTAATGGTGAAACTGTAGCTGAGTTGTAGCTGACATTGTAAATGAGTGTCTGGCTTCTGTCAGAAACTCTTTTGTATGGATCTATTATTTTGTTAGAAATGTCTGGTTCATAGCTCCTATTTCAGATTCTCCGTGACTGAAAGTTGACTTCAGTGGTTCAGGCAGTGATGGTGGTTTAGAATAGGTGCTTGCCCTCTCTTTCTTTGGCCAAAAGGTGCCATGTTTGGGAAGGAGGAGACGGCTCTTCCCTCCGTGGACTGTTTGTTACCATTGCAGAGCTTTCTGCCGTTGTCAATTGAATTTGCAAATGAGAAATGGGGACTGGAATAACTAATAAGGGTGCTTCTGGGCAGTGGGGTGTTGTAGCTGGCTTTGTGGTTGTTAAACATGGTGTGCCTTACTATTTCCTGCCATGCCCTGATTGCTGGGCCATACCGCAGTGCTGTAAAAAGCTAGGTGAGTAGGTTTCTGATGTGAAAGTTAGGGATGGCTCCACACTTTCCCAGTGATGGGCCAACTGTTGTCAGTGTCACATCTGCCCACATGTGGCTTCTGAAGGCAGTTAGACTGTAGGTTGGGCTTGGGCCTGCAAAGCTGTATCCAAGCTCGTCTTATACTAACAGCCCCTGCTGTGCTTATGCTCTATTTGCACCAGCATATAGGCTCAAGGGCAGCAGATGTAGCTGGAGATGCTGCCATTATAGCTGCCGTCTTCGTGGTACCCAGGTGACGTGGATTTTTATTACGCTGGATGGCAGATCTGCAGCAATATTTCTGGTTTGCAAGCTAGGTGCAGCTCAAGCACTGATCAAGGGTGATTGTGGCAGGTAGGTAGCCAAAATCCAGTAAACGCTGTGCCTCAGAAGGGAATGCCTGGAATGCAAATAGTGCCCAGACATCAAGAAAACTCTTTCAGACTACAGCTGCACCAGAAGAATTTTAGGAACTGTTCACCAAACTTAGTGTATGTTGAGGCTTTTCACACTGTGCTTTGGAAAAGAGAGTTATGGAAGGATTCTTCTTAGTTCACAAAAATGAGAATGATGGTGCAGAGATAGATTTAATCTAGCATTTAGCGTTCACATGTATGTTGTCTAAAACAGCCACTGAGGAATGTTGGGCCATTGTCACAAGTCTCAGGAATTGTGAAGGGGAATTCCACTTGCTTATAACAAGATAAGCAAAGGACAACTTCAATTTAAAGATCTGTAACTGTTTCCTCTGAGACGTTTGGACATGACCAAGGGTCAACAGGAGAATTGTAGTAGTTCTATAATAATAGTTATGTTAAGATGATAGGAAAAAAAACAGCAGGAAATACAATTTTAAATAGCCCCACGCTGGCTGGCGTGGTAGTAAGGGAGGAGGACGAAAACAGAGGCTTTTCAAGTCTTTATCTGTTTTACCAAATTAAATTTGATTTATAAAATTGAGTCCCAAATCCTTGAGATGTTTTCATGATAGCCTTTGGAATTCGCTAGAAAAATGACAGTAAGTACATATTGCTGTGCCAAAATGTGAAGTACTGCCTAAAAACTTGCTTGTCATGGGAACAGTGGAATGCTTCAGGGGAATTGTCGTGCCTCTGAAGTATGCTGGATATTGGAAAGCATCTACCAGAAAGAAGTTTGTTGTTGCTGCTAAACACCATGATACTTTGTGTTGTGACTCGCTGAAATACGGCGGAGGTAAACCGGACTCGTTACTGCTTCTGCCGTGGGAGGGGTAGGGAGTCTCTGAGGGCAATAGCACACCGGGGCCTGGGAGGCAGCGGTGCTTCTGGTTAGTGCTCTCCAGCTCTTTTCTCTCTGTGCTCTTCTGGCTGACCTGTCTTGGATGAGCACATTGACTTGAAGCCAAAGCCCTGTGTGGCTGAAATTGCTAACTTGAGGGAAAGGCTGTATCGCGGAGGCCGGATGGCTGTGCTGCCTGTGAAATAATCAGGTGCCAGTCTCAGTAGGTGTCTTGGCACTTCCCTTCGTGCTCTTCCTTGAGAGTGGAAAAATGCCCTGCCTGTACTGATTACTATTTTTGTGCAGTGATGCTTACAAGAAATTTCCCTTCTTCAGCTGTTAGAAAAACCTCTCTCTTCCCAAAACCCAGCTGTTTCCCCTTTTGGCCATTGCTCAACTTCTGTAGTTTATAAATTAACTACTGTGCTATACACATACAGGTTCTTGAACAGTCATAAAGGCAAGAACCTGAACTTAAATAAAGGCAAGACTTTTCTGTAAGGGCGATGACTACCCTTTTGTATTTGACCCAAAGAGAAAGTCCCTGAAGAGCTATGTTCCATGGAAACCTAGTGGAATTATTTTTGTGTTTGGACAGGCTGATCTTTTATCCTTATGTTTGAACTGTGGTTTCTTTTTAGCTGTAAACTACTATGAGAAATGCAGCTGAATCATTTGAGTAAAAAGTTGCATATGCCAAAAGAAACATGATGAAAAATTGAAAGCTGTTGCAGAGTTCAGTAGGTCTCACTTGCAACGTGGTGGAAAAAATGGGTGTGATACTGGTTGAGAGCTCCAGTAAGTTTTCCTTGAGGAGAGGAAGTTCTTATTTCCGAACGTGTCTGGATCTTTGTGCAGCTTTTCTAGCATACGTGATTTGTGGAATTAATTTCCCAAATTAACAAATGATAATTTCTTAGTCACTTTCCTGCATTCAGGCTCCAGTGTTGTAAATACCAATCCTGCAAACGATCATTATGTAAATATATCTGAACTTAGCTGGTGTACAGCTGAGCAAAACCGTAGTAAAACCTTTCACGTGAGAGCTGTGTTTAAATACCCACAGACTGCTACTTAATCAGACAATTGCAAGAAAAATGCTATCATCTTTTGGATTGTGGATTCAAATTTAGTCTGGGCTCATGTATGGACAACTGAAACTTCTGTCTATTTCATGGATTTTTCCCTTCCCCCCGCTTTTTTTTCCCCTCTAGTACACGAGAGGCACCGTGACAGCCTTCTCTCCTTTTGATGCCAGAGCTGATGCAGAAGCTCTTCGTAAGGCCATGAAGGGAATGGGTAAGAATAATTAATTTCATGAAAAGGAAAGGGCTCTCACTCTTTTGAAAACATCCTTTCTGAACTCATTTTTTAATAGTAGCAGATGAGGGTAGGGCGTGCGTCTACATGCCATGGAATACCAACCTGAGGACTGCAGGAGTCTGGGCGTCTCCTAGTTTTGACTGTGCTGCTCTCAAGGATGTTTATTTTTAGGTTAACATAAGGGGGAAAAAAGGTTGTTTGCACACTCCCCGTTGAAAACTGATACTCCACAGGCGTCTCTGCACACAGAGTTTTACTGCACAGTAAGCTAGACTGTGGATTTACAGGCTACAACTGTGGAGAGTTAGGACGGTATAGTAGAAGCTCTGTGCTTGGAAAATGTGCGACAGCCCCCTCTGTCTGGAACTGTGTAAGCACATCACAGTTGCTGTGAACAAAGAATACAAGCACACAGCATGAGTGTAGACTAACAAGTGGTCTGTAAACTCACACTGTAGCTTTCTGCCCCAAAACTTCCCTGTGAGAACAAATCCTAATTTGCTACTTTCTTTGAAGCCTCCTGCGGGAGAAGCAGGTGGAAGGGAAGAAGGGAAATGTGATAGACCTCAGCCTATTGACAAATGCAGTAGGGCTAGTGAGATGCTGTGCTGTGAGGGCTACCTTGCAAACTATCGTATATAAATGGATAACAGCTCCGCACTTGTGTACTCTGGACTGAGTTTTGCTGGGAGTTGGCAGATTGTTTATTCTACAGTAAATCCCTTGGTGAGCCCAAAGGCAAGGCTCCTCTGTAGAATACAGACTGTGACTAAATGTTATAGCTGGTGCCCCGGGGTGCTGGGAGCAGTGTCTGCAACGGAGCACAAGAACAAACACCAGGTAGGTCTTCCAGCCATATTTTTGCAACAGCAGAACATCAAACCTGGCAGCTCAGCTTGGGGTATGGTGACATTTGTTATTTAAATGCTGCTGCTGTTCCTCAGTAAACTGTTATTTTCAAAGCATCTTTCATTGCCTTTTGAGTTTGTGCTGCTGCTGTTTGGTTTTTAGAGTGTGTTTGTAACTCTTTGTTCTTTCTAACTTCAGGGACTGATGAAGAAACTGTTCTGAAGATCCTTACCAGCAGAAACAATGCTCAGCGTCAAGAAATTGCAGCTGCCTTTAAAACCTTATTTGGCAGGGTGAGAAGAAGAAAAATACCTTTAGAAATGAGCCGAATGTGGCCTATGTTGATTACTTAAAACTGTGAGGCACATTCATCACGCTCCCTGTAAAAGGTTCCTTCGAAGAAAATCTAGTTTTGCTTCTGTCTCCCCCTCTTCTCCATCCTGCCATATCCTTAATTGCTGGCTAGGTTAGAGTATTCCTTTTAGGTTAGCACAAAGAAGTTACGTTCTTTTTCTGTATTTTTGGTCCAATATGTCTTAGATGAGTTTTTGTGCAAAAGCTCCTATAGTTTCCTGTTAGTATGCTTCTGGTACCAACCTAATTCTCAGTATGGAAGGAGTTATCAAATATTTTGATGCAAGGTCCGCAATGTAAGGTGATAGCAGGAAAAGAATTTTCTAGAGCTAGAAAATGTGGCAGAAATAAAGCAGCTTAATACCGTAGGAGAAAACAAGCCCAAGTATATTGGTAGATAAAGCCATAAGTGAGTTCAAAGCAAAGACAGCTTGTTTCTTTCTTCCAGCATTGTTGGATCCTTTAATATTCTGGCTGGGTAACCTTTGTTTCAAATAGCAAGTGCAGTGAACAACTAGGGTTTAAAGAATTTCTGTATTGAAAAAAAAATCACGACATGTTTCAGGTTTCCTAAATGCCTGTGTATCCTTTTCTTCTGCCTTATTTGGGTACGTTTGTTTCAGTTCAGGTACCAATTAAAACAGAGAGCCCTGTCCCTTGTGCTTTTTGATGTGCCTCCAGAGTCTTCTAGCTTGCAGACACATATGCATCCATTTAAAATGGTTAGTCCTTGTTCATTACAGCACTGTTTGTTCTGCATTAGGATCTTGTCGATGACCTGAAATCGGAACTTACCGGCAAATTTGAAACATTGATGGTATCTTTGATGAGACCAACATATATTTTTGATGCTCATGCACTGAAGCATGCCATCAAGGTAAGAGGAGTGAGGGAAGGGAGTTAATATATGAAATGTTTGTTGCTCTTTTGTTGTTTTTTAGGAATTAACTTTTGGTTGGTAAGGGGAATGCTAATAGAAGTAGCGGGTTTTCTTTTTCCTTTTTTTTTTTTTAATTAGGAATGTTATGCTAACACCTGCTATTATTGCTAATGCCATGGTTTTGTCTGGTTTCTTATTCATCCTAATAACTCATTAGAGGTAGTTTAGAAATCTAGTCTGTATAATGTTTTATGTGAAATTATTTTCATAAGAAACCATGTAATCTTAAGAGAACAGTGTTGCTGTAAATGCAGATTAAAATCTACATAGTAAAAGACTTGTTCCTTCTGATTTAAATACAATGAGTAGATGTGCATGTTACTATTAAATTCTTTTTGCTGCTAAGGTGCAGTGCTGAGGTCCTGTGGACATGAGATTTTTCTGCTGTGAGCAGCCTAGGCTTTATAGCTACATATAGCTAGTAGGCATAGGCTGCAAATTAATTCAAGGCATTTAATTAAAGTGTGATATTATTTGTATGTCTCTTCTTGATTCTGTTATTTAAGCTAGAGAGTGTTTTGCCCCAATGGATTAGAGTGCAACTCCAAAATTGATGGGCTAGTGTACTTGTGTAAACTGGTGTCCACCAGAATTATGAGCGGGTATTATCTGGATTATTGAATGTGTTCTAAAAGCTGCCTCCAGTAATACAGAAGGAAGAGTTGATAGCCCTGTCAGTGTTACCTTTCTAATATTTTTTTCTTAGCTGAATGCATTTAGTGCCTTTCTGAGAAGGCCAGGTAAACAAACAATTTACAGTCTGTATGTATGGATATTTTAGTGTGTTTTCTTCCATGTGGTCCTATTACCTCCCCCTGCCCCATCACACACAGTCTGATATCATCAGCCTGTGGAAATTCAGGAAGTGGATGTCCCTGGATCATTTACAGAACCTGGTGATTGAAGTAGAGGACATTGAACTTGACTAGTGTCAGGCAGTGCTTGGGGGGGTGACACTTGCACGTAAACTCCCAAGATCCTTGATGACCAACTGGTTAATATGTAGGCTTTAGTCAACTGTGCAAGCTAGTGTTCATGAACCCATGACCCAGCAAATAGAATCTCAGACAACAGAAACTTTAACCCTGGAAATTTTCTGTAATGTCTTCATATGCAGTGGGGGAAGGGGAGATGGCACCTGTCAAAGAAACTGATAAAGGCGTTGTTGACTAAAAGGAAAAAAATGTATTCCCAAGCCCCTCTTGTTGACTTAGGAGTCAACGACTAACAGGGAAATGACAGAACAGATGGGTGTAGGAGGGAGAACAGAGATAGTGAAGCAAGAGTGGTTTTGTTCTTGTCACTTACAAAAAATGATATTAGACACAAGATTATAGGATTTCAGAGAATGTGTTTGCACAGGAAAAGAAGTCGATACTAGCTGCAGTTCAGCTAAGGTGGGTAACAACAGTAAAGAAGATGTGATAGCAGAGGCTTCAGCGCAAGATAACAGCTAAGAGCATTAAGTCTGTGCTGAAGATTGTTCTATCAATTTTCACTGCTGCTACTTAGATTAGAACTAATATAACTGTGCCTGCCTCACTTGTTGAGTAGGCACGTTCTTGAAACAATCTGCATTTTGAAAGTTATTACATGTAACCTGGCAGATTTGTATTTTGGATACCTTTGTATGCAGTTGGATATCTTTATATGCAGTTAGTATTCCGATTTTCCTTGCAGGAAAGGTTGTAAAGAACACGCTGAAGCAAAAAATACACACTACTGTATTTCAGTGTTGCTTTTGTGAAATGACTCCTTTGGAAGAGCAATGGCTTATTCTTACAGGCAAAGTAGAGAAACAAGATACTGGCTTGCCTTTTGTAAATTTTATCCCTGTAAAAGTGAACAGTGCCTGTTGTGCCTGCTGTAATTAGGGTGCAGCAGCTTAAACTATCTGGGTTAGCAGTTCCATTGTAAAATGTGTGTGTTTGCAGTGGAAGAGAGGGTGGGTTTAACATAGCACAACTCACAGAAGGGTAAAGATCACTGCCGGGTGGCTCTGTGTTTATCTGTATACTAGTTGATGAAAGACAGTACATGAACCAGAGCTAAGGCGGAAGCTGTTACTCTATGCATTTACTCACCTTGATGTCGTTGACTGTAATAGCGAAGAACTGAGGTGTATCTGGGTATGCTTGAACATGGAAGGGCTCATCTGAATCCTGCAGCAGTGAGCCTTTATCAAGTGTTGGGTTGGTTTTGAAAATAATCAAGCCGGAACTGGAAGAAGTTCTTTCCAAAACCCCCACAATATACCAGAAAAAAGAAAATAATTTTTCTTTATTTGGTCCAAGTGTATAAGCTGATGCCTGCTTTTTATCGTCAAAGGGAATTCTTGTTTTCCTTTTGTTATTCTATCAACTGATTCATACTTGCACCCCTGCAGGGAGCAGGAACCAATGAGAAAGTGTTGACTGAAATTCTTGCCTCCAGGACACCTGCAGAAGTGCGGAATATTAAACAGGTTTATCTGCAAGGTAAAGTTCTGTATAAAATAAAGTTCTAGGGTCTCTGTTCAGTTCTCTTAATATGATTTTAGCTCATCTTTCAAATAAGGTCTGTCTGTGAAGTGATGGATGGGTCCAATAAGTGGGATTTCATTCTGCTGTGTTGCAAAACTTCATCTTGAAAGAAACTAGAGTTTGGATTGTAAACTAAATTAGTGCTTTTACACTGTGATTGTGGAGTTGCTTTTTTTTTTTTTAAAGGCAGTGTTTAATTTAAGACAATTCTTTTACCTCTATGCAGATTTCTGCCACACAAGAAATTCTTATGTTTTAATAAAGTTTGAGGCAAAATTTATTAGTACTAGGCTTTTCTGGGCTCACATTTGTACGGTTGTGAGACTGCCATATTTTAGCATAACTCCAGATCTGTATGCTCTTTAGTTCCTTAAAGAGCTGAATCTATGCATGTCACCTTGTATTTCAAAATATTTTGAGTCATCTGCTCCTGATACTAGGTGTGAGATGCTATCTTTTCACCTCTTTTACAACCATGTTAGGTTATAAGTGAAAGCAGAATATGTCCTCGTTGTTAAAGCCGTTTCTGATAAATGATTCTACAAGCTGTGAGTCAAACTAACTTTTTGCTTTTCCTTGCTTTCTCCTCAAAATAATGAGGTAGTCTCTAAGGTGGTGAATGTGTATTGTTCTTTTACAGAGTATGAGGCCAACTTGGAGGATAAGATCACAGGAGAAACATCAGGCTATTTTCAGAGACTTCTGGTGGTCCTGCTGCAGGTCAGTATCTCTTTGTGTGCACGCGCCTGTGTGTGATTTTTTTTCACTTCTGTTTTCCTGTCTGAGGTACACTCGTCACTTTCTGCTTACTAAGCTGGGATTCTAGATAGACCTGGTGATAGGAACGGTTCTGAAACTCAGTCGCTTCCCCTGACTTGCAGGGTCAGTCCTGAGCTCTGTTATGGGTCATTTCCACATCACTGAATTGAAGAACTTCTGTGGTGCTCATGGGTATAGCAGAATGCCTGCTGCATGGGGTTTTGAAGGCAATAGGAGAAGAGAACAGTTATTTTACAAAGACACATGCAAGCAGAATGGAAAAATAAGGTGATTTTTGAGAAGATGCAGTAGGGCTTGACTTCTCGCAGTAACTCTTACAGGCTCAATATAACAGATAAGTTGTTTTTTGATTCAACTTTTGATTCTTCAGTTTAACAACTTATAAAAATTCTCTTTAGGCAAATAGAGATCCTGACGGCAGAATTGATGAGGGTCTTGTTGAGCAGGATGCTCAGGTGGGTGAATAACTTGGTTTTGGGGGCATTTGTACAAGCTCTCTTGCAAAGAGAGTGTACAGCTGGAATTCAAATGTGAGAGAGATATTGTTAAGGTTCTTTTTGTGTGCTTCTTAATACATTTGCCTGTGCTTTTATACATTCTGGACAAAAGAAGTGTCAAAACCTGAAACATTGGGATCAAGTTTTTTGGCACTTCCTTGTTTCAGTGTAAAGCATGTCTTGTTTTACTTATTACTCAATGAGGTGCCTGAATGGAACAGTGATTAGATCACTGGAAGAGAAAGTTATGATTGCTGAGGCTTTGTGATGCTGAGACACCCACTGCTGGAAAACTCAGAGATGTTAACGGTTCATTCCTTAATATCTGACTTGAACTTCTCTCTGAATTCAATCCTTACATATCATGAGTCATATACGTGTCACAGTGAAATGTTAATGCTATTCAGTGAGGGATGTCTCCATAGAAGGTGAAATACTAAAAAGAGAAAATATACCAAATATTCTGCTTTACTGTAACCAGATGACAGTCTAAGAATTGCCTCTAAAGAGTTTCTAGGGACTCACATGTTGCCCTTTGCAAGTATTGTCCATGGCATTGTCACTGATCACTAAACCTGTGCTCTAGACAGGAAAAGGAATACCAGCAGTAAATTGGTATCCTTGATGCAGTCTCTTGCTGGATGCTATTGGCTTTGTTGTTGGTTGTAGTGACGGTCAATATTTCAGCAATTTGATTACAGAACTGATTTAATGCGTGTTTCCTCTCAGTTATTTCAGATAACTCTGGGCTAGACGTTTTCCTCTCATAAATTGTCAGTTGAGATGAAAGAAAACACATGGATTGTTCAAAGTGACAAGGAGGAAAAGCAGAATACCAGATCAATAAAACATTCTCCTGATAGCAGGGCAAGATGGAGAGACAGACCGGCAAAATGTATTTCATTGGCACAGCCTATCCTTTGTTATGTAAATTCAGAAAGCATCGTTCTCCTGCTATTAAAATTAATCCTGTGGAAACCAGAGCTTGAAAATTAGTGAGGCAAATGTCTGAATCACGAATTAGACTGTTCCATGAAATGTTGTTAGTCTTGCCTTTAGCTGGGCTTACATAATTGAAGAAACCCATGAACCACAGGCCTTGATAGGTAGATAGATTCCTTTTGGCCTCTTTAATTGATTTTAAATGAGCATCTAAATTTAGGAGGCACGATACCTAAATGCAGAAAAAGTCCTGGCTTTCTAAATGGTCTCTGTGGTTTGTTACGTACATTTGGCTTGAGCTGGGACCCAAACAGAGGAGTGTTCTGTCACATTTCTCTTTATTGATATCTTTACATTCAACATTGAACAGAGCTGGAACAGATTCAGAGAATTTTCTAATTATTATTGCCAGGTACAGATGGTCAGAATTGAGGTATGTGACTGTGCAAATGTAAGACACTTTTTGGCTTCCCAATGTTTCTCTTGGGTAATATGATATTCTGGGAAGGATTTGATACATTAGAGGGCAGCCTTTTTACTCAGTGATGATTTTTAGGTTTTTTTAGTCTATGATTACTAAACATTAATTCAAAGCAGTTGGGGAATGGGCATTCATGCTACAAGATAGTATAAATATGCAGGGAACTTGCAAGACTTTTCTGAGAATGCCTGAAGGAGAAAGTTTAACTTCTTGGAAGAGATTTTGTGAATATCACTTTTTAAAAAAATTATGCAATTGACGTACATTTTGGGTATTGCACAGCGGCAAGGCAGGTAAAAACTTTGAGCTTACAAAAATGCCATTCACAATTTCTAGTATCTCTAAAGAAATGCATTCCTGGTGTTTCTAAATGCTGTGCTGGGACTTCACATTTTTTACTGGATGGAGAGTGCTGGTATTAATTTGAAGAGCTTAGCATATGTTATTTGACAGAAACATTCTTTCAATGCCTTAATAGCTTCCCCCACACACACACTCTTCTGTACTCTGTACCTTTAATATTAAAAAGAGCATGCAGCAGTCACAAATGTGTTTTGAATAGGATTGTCGGACAAACATAAATAAGAAATTCATCCCATTCAGGTTTTACAATATGGACAGAGAGATGGCCAACAGCATTGTTATGCAGCAGATTTCGTTGTGGGGATTTTTCTAGAAATATTTGATTGTCTGAATGTAGGTGGTAACCTTGTTTGCCTCTCCTCTGCTCACTGAGGTGGGAGAAAAAATACTATATACTACGATATGTACAAACCTTTCTCCTTCCATGGCGTTTAGCACACGATTTGGAAAAAAGCTTCTGAGCGTCAGGAAAAAGAACTAATTTCATTTTTGGATTTTTTTTTTCTTTCTCATTTTCCCCCTCTTGTTGCTTATTCCAACTTTTAGAAGTGCTTTACTTTCCTAAATGCTGCTAATGGCCCAGTCGTTGTCTGCATTGAAGAAAGACTTGCCTGAAGAGCAATGAATGTGCTAAAACAATTAAAATGTATTACTGATCTGGTTTCATATGGCTAAGAATTTAGCAGCCCAGAAATCCTGTTTCCAAGAGCTTCTAAATCCATCTTCCCCTCCTTTTTGGAAAACTTCCTCCTGGGCCAAGTTAGCACGGTCCTCCTATTGGTATGAGTCATCATGTAATAAAGTTCTGCTAGTCTGATTTGAAAAAGGGGAAGAAAAAAACCAGCAGAAAAAGCACTATTGGGAGTGGAGTTTGTCTCCTGTATTATCACAGTTTCGGAAGACTTCAGGCTTCTGAAAGGGACTATGCGCACAGTCAATTTTAGGGCCTTAAGCAGTATGACTCATGTAAATGATTTCACTGTGGATTTCACTGTGGATTTCAGAATGTATCATTTCTTTCTTTCGAAAGTCAGTTCAGTACTTGGCAATTACATTTCAATTTTTCCCTCTAGCTATTGCTTGTTAGTAAAGTTAATGCTCCTTAGAGTGAGACAAATAGGGTCTTGCAACAAGGGTCCATGGACACATAATAAATGCTGCTGTTCTGATCTCTTGAATTTACAACAGGTTTTGTTTAGAGCTGGGGAGCTGAAGTGGGGAACAGATGAAGAAAAGTTCATCACCATCTTGGGAACCCGAAGCGTTTCCCATTTAAGGAGGGGTAGGTGGTATGGGTCATGTATGCTTGAAAACTTCTGCCTGAAGTCTCGGTGTTACCCAGCTGATGGTAGAAATGGTAGAGAAGTTGTTTCTGATACTCGTTTGTCAAGCCCAGAAATCTTTAATCACCTCTTCCCTCTATTTAATACATTTGTTTCCTGTAATTCAGTTTCCACCTAGCAGGGGTTGCCTCCTGCTTGAAGGAGTGGTGCAGTAGAGCTGAGAGACAGCTGGGGTGTTTCTTTCTGGATGCTGTGGGGTGGGTTTTTTTTTTTTTTTTTTTCTTATTCCAGAGCTCCATTATTGTTTAAAGAAGAGGTCGTGGCAGTGGAAGTGATGCTGTGAGTCTGTTATGAGTCATCATCATCTGATGGAGATCCAGCCCTGGAAAGATCAACCCTTTCATAGGTTCATACTTTATTAGCTGTTAATAAAGAGACAATAATTTTTTTTCCCCTGCTCTTTACCCATTCATAAGTCTGTTTTACCAAGCTGTTTAGGCCATTGGAAATAATGACCAGTAAGTTTTGCTTTGGTTCTCCAGTCTTTTTGTTTTCCTTTTTGAATCTTTGGATTCATTTGGATTTTCAAAGGTAATTTGATTTGTGATTTTACTGTTTAGTTTTTTACTAGTATTTGCATTAAATTAATCCTGAAGTTTGTTTTGATGCACCCAACATTTATTTAGCATGATAGAAATGTAAGATTTCATAGACAACTCAGGTCTTACTATTCATGAACACAGACTTGAATAGACTGCCAATAGGCCAGTTTGTTTGTGTGAAGTTAATTTGATGCAGTAGCCCAGTGTAGACAAGATCCTAGATTCAGGCTAAATGATAGCTGCACCCTGGGAAAAATGCTTATCATTTCCTACAAATTCCCTTCTTTCCCTTTACCTCTTCTCCCCACACCCTTTCACTGGATGCGTTCACAGAACAGTTGAGGTTGGAAGGGACCTCTGGAGGTCATCTTGTCCAAGCCTGCTTGAGCAGGGGTACCTAGAGCAGGCTGCCCAGGACCATGTCCAGACAGCTTTTGCACATCTCCAAGGACTCCACAACCTCCATGGACAACCTGTACCGGTACTGAGTCACCCACACAGGAAAAAAACTATTTCCTGATGTTCAGACAGAACCTCCTGTGCCCATTGCCTCTTGTCCTGTCACTGGGTACCACTGAAAAGACCCTGGGTCCGTCGTCTTTACACCTTCCCTTCACGTATTTGTGCACATTGATGAGATTCCCCCTTGAGCCTTCTCTTCGCCAGGCTGAACAGTGCCAGCTCTCTCAGCCTTTCCTCATAGGAGAGATGCTCCAGTCCCTTAATCATCTTAGTGGCCCTTCACCGGACTCACTTCAGTTGCTCCATATTCCTTTTGTACCGGGGAGCCCAGAACCTGGACCCTGCACTCCAGGTGTGGCCTCACCAGCGCTGAGTAGCGGGGAAAGATTCACCTCCCTCAGCCTGCTGGCAATGCTCCTTCTAATGCAGCCCGGGATACCATTCGCCACCTTTGCCGTAAAGAGCACGCTGCTGCCTCGTGTTCAACCTGGTGCCCACCGGGACCCCCAGCTCCTTTTCCGCAAAGCTGCTTTCCAGCTGGTTGACCCCCAGCATGTACTGGTGCATGGGGTTGTTCTTCCCCAGGTACAGGAATGTGATGTGTAGTAGCAATCTGGTAGGAAATAGGTATTTAAAATAGGACAGAGGGAAGAATGAGTGGACGATAGCATTTGAACTGTGGATCATGAGATAAAGATGGCGTTAACCTGTACTGAGGAGGATACTGGGAGAAATGGTGGCTAGACATGTGACTAAGCACATCTTCTGTTTTGCAGTGTTTGACAAATACATGACGATTTCTGGCTTTCAAATTGAAGAGACCATTGACCGTGAAACCTCTGGTGACTTGGAGAAGCTGCTTTTGGCAGTTGGTAATTCAGTCTTAATAGATCTAGAACTGGCCTTCTTCGTTTACTCCCAGGCCTCCTTAAATTGCAGTTGTTATAGGAAGTGGCATGAAAACATGGTTCCTTTTTAAAGTTGATCACCTGGGATCTATTTTTGTATTTAGAGAATAGGCCTTTATTCTTCCTTTAATAGGTAAGGGGGTTGGAGGGAAGTGGGGCAGGGGGTGGTGGTGAACTGCATTCTGTTTGGTCATGTGCACCTCTATCAGAAAGTGAGACAAAACTCTGCCTTCGTTTGTATTCCTGGTATCTCATTTAGGACAGTGTCATAGTAGATTTGTAACTGGGAGTAGAATTTCACTAGCAAGGTCTCTTTTCTATTAGAAATATATGGTGCGTTCTAACTTGTAGAACCCAAAGAGTTGTAGCAGAGGAACAGACTAGCTGGCAGCTGTGTACTTAATAGTCCACACTGGAAAGAATGATCCAGTAACACACACTTTGTCTTGACAGTGAAAGATTGTCCTGTATTAAATAACAACCAGTAATTTAATCCTTTGCCTTTTTTCAGTGAAATGCATCCGAAGCGTGCCTGCCTATTTTGCCGAGACTCTGTATTATTCCATGAAGGTATGTACGTGTTTTCCTTACATCATTTTCCGTCTCCCCCGGCTACAATTCCTCTCCCTTTCACTTGTTCTTCATTTCTTCTTTCACTGCGAATGCCAACAGGATACTGTATCACTAAGCATCTGCAAAAGGTTTGGGGAATGCAGATCTGGGAGAGGATACAAACGATTCATAAGCTTTACTTCAAGTTCATTGTAAGTTTGTCAGACCATAAATCTTTTACAGGAAACCTCAGTCTCATGAGCTGTTTTTGGACTTGGTCTTGTTACACTGGAAAATGTCTGGCTAGATCCGCTGGGCACCTTCAGCTAAATAAAGACTGCAGTGTCTTTACGTGGTGGATATATTGAGGAAGTAAAAATGACCAAAACCTAAATTGCAGATTGTGCAGATTTAGTGATCTTTATTTTGGAGAGTGTAGTTAGCTGTGAAACACATTTTGATGACTATCCATCCCATTTTGAGAAGGAAAAGAAACTCGTCAGAGCAAAATGAAAGAGGATTAAACAGCTACAAAAGCTTCTGCAGGGGAATCCCATCAGCGACACAGCTGTGTTTCTGTTGGCTTTGCCTTCTTTTGGATGGGATGAGATAAGCAGGGAAAACTTTTTTTTTTTTCTAAAAAAACCTCATAGTGGCTAAACTAATTAAAACCGAGGTAGGTAGTCTATTGTTCTCAGGCAATATTGTTCTCAGATTCCCTGAAGAATTCCTCCCTTCCCGTTGCTGAAAAGCACTGAAGTATGTTTGTCACCAGATGGTTGTGTTGATGAAGCGTCAGCGTGAGAATTAGTGAAAAGAGATGAAATCGTACCTTAATTCTTAAAAGCTGCTTTACTGCTTTTACAAACATCAGTGTAAAATAGGGTTCAGGTGGAAAATACAAAATATTATACCAGTATGCTGAGAGCTGTATGAGGAGGATTACTTTTTTTTATTTATCTATTTATTATTTTTATTTTTTAAAGAATGCAATAGAAAACCTTTTTCTGTAGGTTTTAGAATCTTTTACATTTCTGTTACAAGGGGCCTGATTAATGTCTGCTGGTGAGATCCCCAATTTTTTTTATTAGAAATAAAAATGATTAAGCACTTCAGATAAGAAAGATCACCATTTATTACTTTGGCAGAAGAGTTTGTACTTCCAATTCATCAGTTTGGCATGACAAAGTTCTACAATGCGCCGAGTTTGCTTTCATGATTAAATGGGGCAGAGCCTGGTTTTTACCAGATTCTAATGTCAAATGCTACTCGGAAACCACCGGACTCATGGCATAACTTTTGAGCAGCTTTAGAGCATTTTTAGATGTAATCCAAGAATATTACACCCAGTCGAAGGATTGAGTGACCCTGGACGTTAGGCTGAAGATGATCGCGGGGGCTCTGCCAAGTCCTTCCTTGAGGTGCCTTAGCAGGTCAGCATGTGAAAATTTGTATTGCTTCAGCTTGTGTGGAGTCTGACTTGTCTGAGCAGGAGGGGTCAGGATGTTAGTCTGGCACAGCCTGCCAGCACAGGAATTCAAGATGTTTAAAGCAATAAAGATGAATAAAAGAGTGGAGAATATTTGTGTGGTTGGAAAAGGTTTATGAAGTTTGCCTTCATAATAAACGGCTGGATAATTTGTGGAATGAGTTGCTCTGCCTGTTTCTTGCTGTACGATGTTACGTGCTTTGTATTTGTCATTGTTAGGATTTATGTACCCAGTTCCAGAACTGACTGCAATTTGGCAGTCTCCGACTACATTGAAAGGGTGATTTGCATGCGATTCTGATCGTGGTGGTCAGATACACTACTGTGTAGTCTTGGAACTGAATTATTTAAAATTTATTATGGGCGTTCACAGTTGAAGCCTGTGAGATGAAACGTGAAATAAGAGGTCTGACCATATGGCCCTTCGTAGAAGTCCAGGGATTAGAGCACCTTGCATGGTCAGTCCTCTGTTCTCCACATCGCAGTGTGAAAGTCTTGTGATACTGTCCCAAATACTTTTAGGTTTGGAGTAAAAATGTAGTGCAGGAGTGTTTTGAGACAGCACTTGTTGCACTTGGTGCTTCCGTGTTGCACTCTGGTTGTTTGTATTTGTTGTTTTGCTACAGCCTCTGTCCGGAACAAACTCATGTTTTAATATTATTTAAACCTTTCTCTTTAGGGGGCTGGCACTGACGATGATACCCTGATCAGAGTCATGGTTTCAAGAAGTGAAATTGATCTGTTGGATATTAGAAAAGAACTCAGAAAGAATTTTGCAAAATCATTGTATCAAATGATTCAGGTAAAATGACTGTTCTGTTGTCAGGGAAAATGGGGGTGATTGAGATGTCATCATTTCCACTGGTTATTTTTATGGGAGGGGGTGGATGTGAGTAGAGCTGGACAACACAGTGCACTCTGAGAGCAGTGGGGGTTGGTCTGCAGCTTCGTGAAGTGCCACATAGCGCCCTTTAAGTGGGGGACACTTCCTATGAAACGTTAAAGGTTTCTTTCCAGCGTTCACTAGGAGACCAGATGTGGTTTTCTGAAATTACAATTACTCATACACCATTTTTAGCTACTGCTTTATTTTCTTTTTCTTGTCTGGGTTCCTTCTGATTTTCAGTGCTTCAGAGAGGGTGCTGGCTCCAGAGGAATAATATTGGGGTTAGGAGTCTGAATTATCACGAGGTTGGAGTTTAAATCTTGGATTGCGGTGCGGAACCTTTTGCACCATTTCAAAGTGGAAAGTATTTCACTGTGGAATCAGTCTGAATCATAATCTCCTTTGAGTGGATGGGAAGGAGCAGGAAGGGAACGA